ACCAAAATACACATCCATCTAAAAGATGAAGACAACATGATGAAGGAGATTAGAGAATCAGAGGTTGATAGCCTTCTCTTGAGGTGGAAACTGAAGGACAATATTAACAGTGGACAGAGTTATTAAGCAGGTCTTCATGTCCTAGAGGCCCTGTGAGCTGCCTTACGGATGCCACAGAAGCAGCCACTCACCCATGCTCAGATTGCTGGTGTGAGAGCTGAGGAGTGCAGGCAGCAGGACCTGGAGACAACGTGGTACTACAGCCAAACGCTGAGCACCCCTGGCAGGAATCACTCCCCTTACCAAAACCAGGAGGAAGGCATGACACCAGAAACCTCATCTCTTGCAGCTCCTTTTCAGATGGACCTTTTTTCAGACAGTTCTTAAGCTATTAGTATTGTTCCAGTCATAGACTAAAGATTTGCTCTCTCTCACAGCACAAGTGCAAGCAAGCACCACACAAACTGAATTCAGATTTATGGCTGAAGTAATAACTGAAACAATAATTTTGGAACTAGAAGCCACCAGGATGAGCCCATTCCTACTGGAAAGTGGTTTGTTTGCACACACCCCACATGACTCGACAAAGATGGGCATCTTAATGCACATAATGAATGTGAATAGGCTGCTACAAGAACTACATTTTGTTCCCTCAATTTTAGGGCCCCAGAGACCTAACCACAAAAGTAATTCAGGTCTTTCTAGTTCCTGTCTCTTCTGCCTGTTTCCCAACATATCCTATCCTTCCAGAATCCTATACCCCTGCACACGTGTCATTGTCCCCCAGGTCAAAACACCCCAACCTAAGTAACAAACATCCTAATACCCTTAAGGTAAAAAGCACAAACTCAGCAGCTGGAAACTGAGCACTGTTGTAACACGATGGTTACAATCCTGTTAAGTAAATACAAGGTCTAAAGAACATGTCTGTTTATCACAATGTATCTCAGGTAGCAGGCTACACTGGCAGCTCAGACAGCTCTGAAAGGTTTGGCTTCTGAGTCCAGAGGTCTCAACAAAGGTCACTTGCATAATTGTTTTCCCAACTGAGCCACTGCCTAGCGATCCTCGTTCCAGTGGCACAGCTCTCCTCCACACTCAGTGCTTTTTAAAAATTCCTCCCAAACAGTGGCCACTTCAGTCCTTTCCCCCCCCATGACTCACTGGTCAGCAGCACATGAGCAGCCTCAATGCCAATCAAGTGGTCAAAAAGCCTTCCCCCTTTTTCATTCTTGCCGACCTGGAAATTTTTCCATGAACTACATGGCATAGGAAAAACAAACCCAAAGAGATATCAAATTGAGAGTCACTGTGAGAAATTACTAAAGTGAGAAGTTCTGTGGTAAGAACTCCATCCCTTAACCCACCCAGGGGTAAACTCTCACAGGGTACTTCCTATCTCTGGCTTTTTCAGTCATTTTAAAATACAAACTTAAAAAGACCATAACTCTACCAGTCCTGCATTAAACAAGGTTGAAAGCTGAAGGTGTCAGCCATCCCACAGACCTCTTCCCAGGCAGACTGACATATTACAATCTGGCAGCTGCAGGGCAGCAGATTATGTTTCTGCTTACCTGACCTATATAAGTAAACCAATAACCTGAAAGGGAAAGGCTCAGTGCTCTTTCACACCTAAAGTATTTAGTCTTTGAGATGACAGAATTTTAGAAATTGTTTCCAAAATTTATCCATCAACTTCAAACATTTAAGAATTACTCTTTCTGCCCTCAAGCTAGACAAGAAGGGTTATTTCCTCACTTGAAATTATGCTAGTGACACACCTTGCACACACAGTAAACTTGTATAAATGTGTATCAGAGAACCGAAAAAAGGCAGAAAGAAAACACACTTAAAGATGAAACTGTCAGACCTCAACAATGGACAAATTCAAGGACAAAAAGCTTAAAAAGCTCCAATGAAACTGTTGTTTGAAATGAGTCGTTTTCAAACCTCTTACACTCTTCTAAGCTCGTCCCCTAACAGGCAGAAGGACAAATAGTGAAATAGCACGACAGATTTGTGTCAGGAGGTGGCAAGCCGGAGTGTGAACTGCCTATCATGAAGCTGGGTTTGATGAGCAGAATTGGCCCCCTCCCAAAAACTGAACGCCTGTTTCTGGAGGAAAGGCTCCGAGGGCAACCCGCTACCTCTGCTATTAGTTTCATTTTCCCCAACTTCCTGCTGGAGGTTGGGCCTCAGAGAAATAATTTTTCTCCCCTAAAGGCAAAAGTACTTAAAACACAGTCTGCTGAAAAGGGAAGTCACCTGCTCGTACCTTTTACCCACCTCTCCTAGGAACTTTGCACCTGGAATACGCTCTGATTCTCCTTCTTCCACAGATGCTTCCATTTCAAAGGTATTAGGCACTTTTGCTTTAAAAATACCATGAGACTTCTGCATCCAGATAAACAGATGCAGGCCAGACTAACTGAAACAAAATTGTCACCTGGCAACTGCAAAACCACCAAATTTCCATCAGCCAGATATGCAGGCATACACTTCTGGGCAGAAGTCTGGGCAGCCAGAGCACCACTCTCCTCTTTCTCCTAAAAACACTGCAGAGATGGACACGAGAGCAAAGGAAATCTGCAGCTTGATTTATAGATAAACAGAGAACTAGCAACCCAACAATTTCACTGCATCTAAAAATGTGAATAAAATGTAGTTAAGTACTTCAACATCAAAACTGTCCCTTTATATTGGCTTTATGTATTGTGTTGTTGCCAATCACAACAAAGCCTGACCATTCATGCTGGCTGAGGTTTTGAGAACCACCAGCTGGGTTGAGTTTGCGTTGTAAATGTGACACAGAAAATTTGCATGTTTCATGCAATCCTTAGAAATGAAATTTGGAATGGAAATTCAAATCAAGTTAATGGAGGTTTATGTAAGGCCCTGTGTTAACGATGATGCAGTCACGGCCAACGTCTTTAGGAAAGGCTGAATGAAACAGCAGAGCATACGTCATTGTTTTTCCTCTTTTCTACAAGCCAAGTGCTCTTTCTCAGAAAGCAGACTGACAGTAATGGTCACTGCAGAGCTTTTGCTAAAAGAAAATCAGAATCTAAGCCATAGTTATCAAAGTGTATCTTCTGTTTACCTGTTTAATGAAAGCTAATGGGTTTTTTCTCTAAAGCTCTTCTACTGAGCAGGTATCTGCCCTAAACCCAGGCAACTCTCATGCTTTCCACAAGAGCAGTTATAACACTTAAACAGATTCTTGCTGGAGGGAAAGATCACATGATTTCTGAGGACTGTAAATTGTTGAAGACCATCTGAAAGTTAAACTACATTTTTAGGTATTCAAAGCACAACAGTCTCATTCTTCTTCCTGATATTATCAGCTACAGATGACACCCTCCTCCTAGTCTGATGGTGAGTTTATGCAAGGCAAAGCTCCCCGCAGCCACACTCACTGTGCATCCCACCAGAGATACATCACCTGGTGAGGATCTCACAACTTACCTGGGTCTCACCACAGTTCAGGACTGTCTGACTGCATGAGTCACCCACCCTCCAATAGAAATAACTACAAACTTCAGAGTAGAAAAAACAAGACAACTACATGTAACCTTTATGATACAGAATGACTTCAAAAAAGCAATTTCTAGACCATCTTCTAGTCCTTTCATCAGCATCATGAACTTGACACGGGAAGTCCCTGTAACCAGGAATAATCTTTTCAGAGCTAAAAACCTACACAACAAGATTTCTCAGATACAGTGCTTGATTACTGTTTTAATTAAGAACAGATTTAAACAGCCATATGAAGAAACACAACGCTATTAAATGCACATTTTTATTTAATTATTTTACCATGATGCATGCTGTAAATCACATTGCACACAAGTAACAAAAGTGGCATTTGGCCTTAGGTTTGCTCACCAACAACTCAGAATTTGTCTTGACAAAGGAAGGCTGCAATTTTTTTCCCTCAAGTACAACCAACAAGTATTCCAAGGTAGCACCAGCCTTTTATGCACCACACCCATACGACCCCCAGTCACTGAATAATAAATGCCAGACTATTCCACTACTGTAATATGCATGAGCAGGAGGCTGACTCACATTCAGCCAGCTGTAACAAGGGAAACAAAGAGTTTTGAAACTTATTACTGAAAAGGAAGGTGAGGTTTTAATTTTTGTTCACTCTACATTGAGCTATCTATCCAAGGAGGAGGTTGCTTGAAGTCTAGAAAGAGTAACAAGCTGGAAGAAGTTTTTACTGAAATCTATCTCTATTTTAAATTGGGATGGGGGGAGGGAGAATGACATAATGACACTGCCCTAGTTAAAATATCTGAAAATTAACCTCCTATAATGAAAACAGGAGCTGATAAGCAGCAGAGTTCTTCACACATTAATCAAGGTGCCATAGTTCACTGGGTCTCCTTTACCCACCTCTACATCTGTCTGGTCAGCAGGCAGCCAAATCTTTTGCCCTTCTATTTCTGCCTTGCTTTCCCCTCCAAATCTTCTCTTTGAAAGATTTGCAAGTTTTCTGCTTCCAGGAACAGAAAATAACTCTTGCACAGACAACCCATCAGAGACACAATGCAGAACTAAGCTGGTATTTTACTTTATCAAGACAATGGATGTCCTCCTTCACAAAGACTGCATCATTTGGTCATTTAATTCTACCCAAGGAGATCACAATTTTGTTCAGAAGCCCAATCTGGCTGCAGCTTTTATTGAAATGTCCATTCCTTTGCAGTCAGGTAAAGGAAGACAAAGATACAGTCAAAAAGGCAGATAGAAACTTTTCAAATTCAACCTTATAGCAAAGCTATACCTAAGCATAAATATATAGCTAAGATAAACATGACTCTCCTTGCAGATGTGTACAGGTTAATAGGGATACTAGAAATAAAGCGCTAGAAATAAGCCTAGAGAGAAAATACAGGCTGAATAAACTGAATAAGTGATAAACCTGAACCTAAGCAACCAGCAAAAGCTGGCACAGTCAAAACTGAAAAGCTCTGTTCTGCAAATAATTCGCCATGAACGCAACAGAACTTGTTCAGAAACGCCCCAGTGCCAGCGGTTCACCTGCATCAGGTACAAAAAACCCCCAACCCTCCACAGAACAACAAAACAAACCCGAGGCAATTGATGCTTTTGAGTCCCTGGGGGAAGCCAGGAGCGTTCCCGAGCCCTCCCTGGGGGAAGAAGCCAGGAGCGTTCCCAAGCCCTCCCTGGGGGAAGAAGCCAGGAGCGTTGCTGAGCCCTCACTGGGGGGAGCTGAGGGTCTGCTCTGTCTCTAGTATTAAAGCTTGGGCACAAGGATGACCTGTTGGGGGTCAATAACTCACCAGCAGCCCCACAACCCTGGTGCACTTTGCTGACCACTGAGAGTTTGGCAGCTTCTCTGAACTTTGGGCTCCCCAGTGTCCTGGCAGGATGACAAGCTGGGTCAGGGCAGAGTTGTGAGTCCTCCCAAGCTCCCCCAGCACTTGCAGTCACTGATGGTTTCTCCTCTGGTCCGTGCTGAAGAACGGGAGCAGGAAGAAGCTGCTAGGAGGGCAAAAGCCCAACTCTGGGAGGTGGATGAGGAGGAGTATGATGCCCTCCCTGAGGAGAAGAAGGCTGAGCTGAACGATGACATTCGACGAGCCCAGAGGGAGAGGAAGCAGAGGTTTGTGAGCTTCCCATGGGTCCCTGAAGGGTCTCCCTGCCCTGGAGACCTTGGTGGAGCTCAGAGGGGTTACAGAGCAAAGGCCAGAAGTGTCCTTTACAAGCAGCACAAGGATGGGCAGTTCCACCTCCCTGGTTCCCAGTGGAGGATGGAGCTTGCCCTGGTGAGCTGCAGGGAACTGGGCTCTGTCCTCTCCTTGCCACCATGTCCCTGAGTGAATGATTGTGATTCTCCTTCATCCCCCTTCTTCACCCAACCAGAGGGGTTGTAGGGTGGGTTGGTGTGAGGTGAAGCTGTGCTGGCTTGGTTTAGATGGTGGTCCTGCTGGAGGTGAAGCCCTTGCAGTGCTCAACTCCCAGGGTTCTCCTGCTGAGTGGCTCAAGCCAGAGGGTCTCAGGCTGCAGCTCATCCTGGGAGAAGCTCTGACTCAGCAAAGCAGGAGCACATGTGGGATATAAGGGTGATTCATCCCTGCTGAAACTGGGAGGAACTTCAGCCCTTCTTCAAGCCCTGGCTGCAGTTGGTTTCTCCTGGGAGGAGATCACCAGGGCTGCTTCAAACTGGGATTTCCAGGACAGGCAGCATGAGTTCCCCATGGTCACAGCTGGGTTCCTGCAGGAAAGAATGACATGGGGTTAGGATGAGATGGGGGTAGGAATGAGGGTAGGAATGAGATGGGGTAGGAATGAGATGGGGGTAGGAATGAGATGAGGGTAGGAATGAGATGGGGGTAGGAATGAGATGGGGGTAGGAATGAGATGGGGGTAGGAATGAGATGGGGGTAGGAATGAGATGGGGGTAGGAATGAGATGGGGGTAGGAATGAGATGGGGGTAGGAATGAGATGGGGGTAGGAATGAGATGGGGGTAGGAATGAGATGAGGGTAGGAATAAGATGAGAGTAGGAATGAGGGTAGGAATGAGAGTGGGAATGAGATGAGGGTAGGAATGAGGGTAGGAATGAAATGGGGTTAGGAATGAGATGGGAGTAGGAATGAAATGCAGGTAAGAATGACATGGGGTTAGGATGAGATGGGGGTAGGAATGAGGGTAGGAATGAGATGGGGTCAGGAATGAGATGGGGGTAGGAATGAGATGGGGGTAGGAATGAGATGGGAGTGGGAATGAGATGCAGGTAGGAATAAGATGAGAGTGGGAATGAGATGAGGGTAGGAATGAGGGTAGGAATGAAATGGGGTTAGGAATGAGATGGGAGTAGGAATGAGGTGCAGGTAGGAATGAGATGGGAGTAGGAATGAAATGCAGGTAGGAATGACATGGGGTTAGGATGAGATGGGGGTAGGAATGAGGGTAGGAATGAGATGGGGTCAGGAATGAGATGGGGGGAGGAATGAGATGGGGGCTGAGCTCTTTTTCCAGGCAACTAGCAACAAGACAAGAGGACAGAGCCTCAAGCTGCACCTGGGGAGGTTTAGGTTGGATATTACGAAGCACTTCCTCACGGAGAGGGTGTTTAGGTATTGGAATGGACTGCCCAGGGAAGTGGTTGGTGGTACAGGCCCTGGAGGTGTTCAAGGAAAGGCTGGATGTGGCACTTAGTGCCAAGGACTAGCCCATGTGGTGGTGTTGGTCACAGGCTGGGCTTGATGATCTTAGAGGTCTTTTCCAGCCTTAGTTTTGTGATTCTGTGAGATGGGAATGGGATGGGGATAGGAGTGGAATGGGGATGTGGATAGGATGGGGAAGGGAATGGTGATAGGATGGGGATGGAGATAGGAATGAGATAGGAATAGGAGGGAGATGGGGATGGAATGGGGAAGGGGAGGTTAATGGATGGGACAGAGAGAAGCGCAGCAGGGAGAGCGATGTGCATAGGAGGAAGAAGTGAGGGAATGGGAGGTATCAGCCAGGGAAAAGAGAGAGAGTGAGGATGGAAATAGAGGGCAAGAGTGGGAGAAACTCAAGAAAAATGAGTAAGAATTGAGGGAGGAGGAAATTTGGCTCACAGACCACAAAAAGCTGGGGGAAAGGGAAAGGAAAAGACGAAAGTGCAAAGGAAAAAGAGGAGGGGAAGAGAACGGGGAGGGAAAGGGAAAATTCTCCAAAAGTTGCAAGATGAAAAAATCCTTCCCCCTTGGACAACCTGTCCTGTTTCCCAGCAGGGTGCTGTGCACACTGGTACCCACTGTGTTATAGCCTGAGAGACCACTTTGGAGCCATTCAGAAGGGGCTGCAGCCCTTGGTTGTCTCTGGATCTCCCTAATCCTGCCCCTCCTCATCCCCCAGATTTTCCACCATTGGGATTCACCTGTGTTCTCCAGCCCCCAGCAGGCGTTCAGCTAACAGTTTTCTGCTTTTCCCAGCACCCATGGCGGGGCTGATCCCCCCTCAGCTGCCAGCATCCCTGCAGCATCCCTCCTACCCACGCCTGGAGCAGAGGCAAAGCTCGTTTGCTGCCGTGATTTATCAGGCTCCTGTGACAGGCCCGGGGACCTCTGATTTGCAAGCATTCTTACCCACGCCAAGATTTACCCGGCAGCGGCAGCGGATGCTGGCTGATACCATCTCTTAATTATGTTTGCAGAAAACCTCTTTAATGAACAGAGCTCCAGTGCCCTTCATCTGAAACTTCCCACTCAGCAGCCTGCCCGGCGCTGACCTCAGCGCCAGCCACCCGCTCGGTCACAGCTTGACTTACATTTAGCAGGTCACCAGCTTTTCAATGTGTTACCTTTGCAGGGCTTGTTTCCGGATTCAAATCACCGGGGATCAGAGCCTGCTCCCACCACCCTGAGGGAACATGACTGACTTCAGTGGGAGCAGACATGAGTGGGGAGGGAGGATTTGCAGCTCGGATTCTTTGAGTGCTGTTGGGCTCCCAGAGATAACGTGCAGCATGGGGGGAGGAGAAGAGCTTAAGAAAGGAATATTCTCTTTATTATGTGCTGGATGCGTTGTGTGAAATATGTACCATGACGTGGTAAGAAGCTATTATCTTCTGATACAACAGCTTGCAAATTCAGGGACTGGAAATAACTAGTGATCCCTCCTTTGTACCTTGGAGAGGTTTCTTTTACCCACCAATAAATACTATTTATTTCATACTAATATATGTTCTATATGCATTTAATTCCACTAACTGCTATTTATACCAATAATCATCTCACCTCAGAAGAAATAATGCCTGAGCCTCTGAAGCAGTGGTGTGCTATTTATACCAAGAAATGCTATTTATTGGTGTTAAACAAAGAAAGACAAGAGCAGAGGCTGGACTCCTTACTCACCATGGCCATGTTCTCTAGCAGCAGCTCTGTGTAAATATCTGATTGGCAAAACCCTTCCTCCTGTTATCAGACACTCTTTGGGACCATGCTTGGCATCATGACAGTGTTTTGCTGCTCTGCTGGGACTCAGGGCTTTCTGGCTCCTTGAAATGTTTCAAAACTCTCAGCTCTGCACATCCAGGGACTAGGGGAGGAAAACAGGAAGGAAAAGGGCAGGAGAAGCCTTAAATGCAAGAGTGAAGGCCACAGCTGCCTGCTTCTGCTGCCAGCTGCCCATGGCCAGGCTGGAGGGCAAACGGGGGGAATGTAGGCAATGCATCCCAGTCAAGGAGAGACCTGCATCCCAGTTGATCCTGGTCTCTGTGCCTCGGGTCTGGAGCCATGGATCTGGATCCTAGTCCTCAGTTCTAGATTTCTGTCCCCAACCCTTGGGTCTGGATTCCAGTCCCCATGTCTTGTGTCTTGATCCTAGTCACTATGCCTCAAGTCTGGCTTCTGGTCCCCATGCCTCAGGTCTTCATTCCTATCCCTGTGCCATGGATATGGATCCCAGCCCCTCTTCCTCAGGTCTGGATTCCTGTCCCCATCCCTCGGGTCTGAATCCAGTCCCCTTGTCTCAAGGTCCGGATCCTACAGCCCATGCCTTGGATTTGGATCCTGGTGCCCATCCCTGGGGTCTGAATCCCCATCTTTGTCCCAAGCTGCCACATTCCCCTGTCTCTAGCTCTTTTCCAGGAAAGAGTTTGCATTGTGATTTTCCCCTATGCTGTTGCAGCTAGGAAAAAAAATAACAGAAGAAACATTATTTGCATTTTAAAACCTTGTTTTAAATGGAGAAGTTGGGAGTGGGCTTTCTGCCAGTGCAGTCTGGCACTTGCTTTGTTGAGAGCATATAGAATAATTTATAAATAGCACGGTGGGTTGTTTGGGGTTTGTTGGGTTTTTTAAAATATAATTACACTTTTAAAGATCTTGCATTGCTGGAGAGAAGGAATTGGCAAAAGAAGCTTTAGAAAAAGTCATGAAGAGGGAAAATTTTATTTAATGGCATTCATAACATCACAAAGAGGAGGGTTTTCCATAGCTAGCAGGAAACAATGCAGGACACCCACAGACAACCATTCTTACACCTCTTCTCCCACCTCCTCCCCAGGCAGCTGAACTTAAGACCCCCAGATCCTCAGGGGCTGGGTTTGACACAGGAGAGGATGATTTAGCAGCATGACCTGGCCCCAGGAGCAGAGCACAACATACTGAGCCTGAACCACTGGGTGGGTCAATGTTGGGGGCAGCTGGGAAGAAAAATTCATCTTGTCTCTGTCAAAACCAGAAACAATGATGCCTGGAGCCAGGACCAGAGGTGTGTCCCCAAGCTGGGGGCACAGCCAGGGGAATGCTTTCTCTCTGTATCCTCCCCCACCCTGCTCAAGAGGTGATTCCTGCTCCCAGGAGAAGACCAGGGGCTTCACTGCTGCTGCTTGGGGAAAAAACAAAAAAAAAGGGAAGAATAAATAAATAGAGAAGTAAAAGCAGGTTGGAGGCAAGGATGATGTGGAGCAACGAGGGGATTTAGTAAATCCCACCAGGAGATGCTGTCCTGCCTACCAGGATCAATAGAGCAGCAGCCCTGGGCTTTGGACACCCTCAGCATCCACTGGCCAGCCCCCAGTGCTCCCAGTATCTGCTTCATTCGATACTGGTCTTGAGATACACTATTGATATATTAGATTTCCCAGAGAGAGCAGTGCAAAATGCACAAATCCTCCAGCAGCCAGAGCTGGAGGTATTGATTTTTTTATACATTGTCACTCCCCTCTGGGTACTGGCAGAGGACAAGGGTGTGAGTATGAGCATCAGGAACTAGGGGGGTCTCAATCCCCAGGGCAGAGGCAGCACACAAGGTCAGACCAGGAGCAACA